CCTTTCCTGAAATAAGGATAAAAAAAAATATCTCCGGATATTGCCAAATGCCCTCTGGGTTGGGGCTCGTGGGGAAGGGGATTGCAGTAGGGGGAGAATCAGTGTTCCAGAGCCACAGTTCTTAGCCACTTAGTGTACAGGAAAGAAGAAGTAGCCATTGTTTCCTTATAATTAGCCCTCTCTCCACCTGGCTTCCAGGAACCTCCAGCCCCCTAAACGTGAGAACTGAGAATAAGGCAGCCTTATGCCACCAAATCAGCTTTGCCCAGAGATCTGGCCTGGAGGAAGAAATGCAGTGTTTCTACCCAAGGACTTCTAACCGCGACCGAGGGAGAAGTGGCTGAGCCGCGGGCTTTACCATCTGATTTCCTGCGCCCGGAGGGGGCCTCCGCCTGCTCCAGAGCCGGAGGGGGCACATTCCCCAAGGACGGGGGCTCTGCTCTTCCCGGGGGTGGCGCAGGGTCAGCCTTCCCCAGGGCCACAGGCTCCACCTTCCCGGAGGCGAAAGGGCCTGCCTTTCCTGAGGCTCCAGGATCCTCCCTCTCCGGGGCCAGTGGCTGCTCCTTCTGCAGAGACGCAGCTTCTGCGTTTCCTGATGCAGTGGTGCCCTCATGCACAGGGCGCTTTGTGTCTGCGTTCCCCGAGGCCCCGGGGCCCACCTTTGTGGAGTTCACAGGATTCCCCTTCTCGGGAGGCCGAGCACCCTCCGGGCCCGCATCAGCTTTTCCCGCGGGTGCCAGGGCTGTTTTCCCTAGAGCTGGGGATGCCACCTTTCCTGAAGGCTCGGAGTCCGCTTCCCCCCTGCTCCCAGGGTCCACCCTGCCTAGGGTGGGGTCCGCCTTCCCTGAGATGGTGGGACCCACCTTTCCAGAGGCCACAGGGCCTGCTCTCTCTGAGGACAGCGGCGCTGCTTCCCCCTCAGCCACTGCCCCAGGTTTTACAGAAGATGAGGGTCCTGCTGTTCCCAAGAACATGGGGTCCCCTGGGACCGAGGGCACAGGGTCTGTCTTTCCTAAAGATTCAGGGTTCACTTTCCCAGCAGGCAATGTTTTTCTGTTTCCCACAGAAATAGGGGGTTCCACTTTTCGGGAAGATGCCGAGTCCTCCTTTTCTGGGGATACAGCTCCTGTCTTTCCCACAGATGCCAGTTCAGCCTGCCCAGGAGACAGGGGCTCTGGCTTTTCCGAGGACACAGGATCCACCTTCCCCAGAGGCACTGGACCCACCTTGCTCAACGAGCCAGCGTCCGCCTGCCCAGCAGGCCCGACTGTCGTCATGCTCACAGACGTGGGAGCTCCCTTTCCTGAGGAGGCGGGCGCCATCATTTCCAGGTACCGAGGGTCCTCTTCTGTAGAGGACACCGTGTCCGCATTTCCCATGGATACAGGATCTGTCATCTCCACGGGCCGGCCCCTTCCTGTCGCCCCCGGAGCCACTGTTCCATGGGACACGGGCTCCATGTTGACCGGCGACCTTGGAGTCAGCATTGCCAAGGAGCCAGGATCTGTCTTTTCTGCAGCTGCAGGCGGGGTGTAGTCCAGGGACCTGGGGTCCGCCTTCCCTGCGGGCCCAGGGTCTCTCCTTCCCAAGGACACAAGATCTGCCTCGCCCACTGGTGCAGAACCCACCTCTTCTGAGGACACAAGGAGCTTCTGTCCTGAACACCTGGGTTCCTCCTGTCTTGGGCACGCAGGGCCCACTTTGGCCAAGGATACAGGATCTTCCTTTTTTGGAGTTCCAGGATCCATCCTTCCAGAAGCCACCGGATCCCCCTTTCCCAAGACGGCAGGCTCTGTCTTTCCTGTGAACATGGGACCTGCCTTTCTCAAGGACCCGGCATCTTTCTTTTCCCTGCCAGTGGCATCTGCCTCCTTTGAAGGTGTGGAGTCCAGCTTCTCCAAGAACACAGGCTTTCTGCTCTCCAAGGACGAGGGGTCAGTTTTCGCCGAGGACACATGCTCTGGCTTCCCAGAGGAGGTGACTTCTGCTGTCCCTGAGATCGAGGCTCCAAGTGCTCCCACTGTCTCTTTCGTGGCTGCCTCTTGGGGAGGGATGCAGGTCAGGGATGGGCAGGCCAAACTCCTGCCAGGATCCTCAGAGCAGGAGGCCCCTTCCCCAGTTCCACTGGGGTTGCTGTGTCCAGAGTCCATGCCTGGGCTTGGGGCAGGGGTGTGCCTGGGGGGTTCAGGGCTGGCCTTTCGTGGGGAGGAGCAGTAGTCCCTCATGGCCGGGCTCCCAGCCCCCAGGCTCCCATCCTGTGGGCAGCAGAGGGCTGTGGGCTGGGGTCCTCGAGGGCTGGGGTCCTTTCGAAGCCACTGGAGCCAGGCCGGTTCTTCAGCACTGTCCACCTGCCCTCATGGCCATGCTTCAGCCCCAGGCTGCTGTCAGGTTCTGAAACACAGAGAGAGTAGACTCAGACTCAGGGGAGACCCAGCGGAGATCCGGGCCTCCTCTCTCTCACCTCCCTCCTCGCAGCCAGGCCTCCTCACCAGATTCTCTGCCCACGTCTGGTCCCCTCATGCCCATAGGGCCGGGGCTAAAACCACTAACCCATCCACATCACTGCCCCCGGTGACCCTGATTCCCTAACATGGCATTCAGGGCCCTTCACCATTTGGCCACAGTCTAACTTTCGACTTCCCTTACCATCACCCTTCCTTGTCAGCCCACTCCATGCTGCTAGAAATTATGCTTTTGTCCTCTAGCCCAGGGGTCACAGACTCTGGGGCTAGGTAGTAATTTAAGTGAGGGAAGCAGGCTAAGTATAAACCAATAGGGAGTGGAGAAGACTGTAGCAGACCGGAGAGTGTATGGCCCGTCTGAGGGGAGAACCACTACTTCACCAGCCAAGTATTGTTCTGAAGAAATGCATCCTGGTAGTACCAGTGAGAAGTGGGAAATCCAGCACTTTAGTGTAAAATGTCCTAATTAATTCAAGATTAAAAAAAAACAACACACCAACTACGACACTCTGGAGGCTAAACAAAATATGTCTGTAGGCTACCAGTTATGTCTGTGTAGGCCCTGGGGAGCTGTGAATAGTTTATAGTCTAAGAAGGGATATAGTCCAACATGTGTGTTTTCAAAGATTGCTCTGGAATGGCGTGGAGACTGGGGCTGGAGGGGAGGGGCTGGCCAAGACTTATGAGGAGGCTGGTCAGTCCTTCGTTCAATCTCATTTATCCAGTCCTTCATTCATTCACCCAGCCCCTCTCTGCAGCGGACCTGAGCAGCCGCAATGTCTAGATGAGAGGTACAGGAAAGGTCCTGGGGAATGGGAGTCGGCAGGATTGAGAGCTCTGAGGGAAAAGTGACAGGAACCAGCTGGCTGCAGGGGGTGCTGGTGGGGGTGGACCGCAGGATTCTGGCTGGGGGTGGGTGGGTTGCCAGGCAATGGTGCTGGGCAGGAGACGGGAAAGGAGGAGCTGCGTTTTGGACAAGCCAAGTGTGTGGTACCTGGGGGACAGCCAGGGAGAGGTTCTGGCAGGCAGCTGGGTCTGCGAGCAGCTCGGTTCCATTGCACACTCAGCAGCCACAGCGAGCCTGAAGCCCGCTCTTACTGCCCTCATCTCCAAA